GAAATGAGTCTAACTAGGGCCCAAAATGCCTTTCAACTGTAAAGTCAGTTTTATTGATCAGCTTTGGCCTAAACATGTGAACCAATTTTTTAATTGAAGACTTTTTTTTATAATATAAAAGACATTACAAAGAAATACACCTGTACCTTCTATATACTCAAAAATAGGTGTATTTTTTTCAAGCTTGTTTTCAACTCATCATCTCAATTACTTTCTAGGTGGTTGAAAACTTTACACAGTACCTATTTTTCTCTAGAAAATATCGTATTTCTATTTCCCTGCTGAGCTGCCTGTGTATCTGTTTCCTGCTCTCTTCAGCAGTCTTTGTTCCTATATGTGATACATCAAGAAAATAAAAGTAGGCCTTGGTTAGTAGAAGTAATATGCAGACAAAACTTTTGCAATAAAAAAAAAAAAATTATGATAATACAACTGGACATGATGCTCTAAACTGAAGAGAACTTAAATATGAAATGGTTGATGTAAAAGCAGCATGCAATAACTCTTTGAAAACACTTTCTACTCCAAAAGATGAGAAGTTTTATAATACTATCTCTTTTTTAAGGGTTTTGGGGATTTTTAAAAAAAATTTAGACAGCTAAGGTAGCCCATGTGTAGCAAGTAACTTAGCATGATTTCTTCTTCCTGACCAAAATAAAATGAAAAAGAATGGAAAAAGTTAACCTGGAAAGGAAAGATATGTTGACCCTGCTCAGCACTCTTGCTCTAAGGGAAAACTATACTGCAAATCTCCTAAAATACTGCATGTACTGACAAAAAGTGGGTAATCTAGAAAAAGTTCATGAGATGCACAATATACTATTGAAAAGTTTAAAAGTTTAATGGTTTTTAATAGTCTAGGAAAAAAGCTAAGACTTCATATTGAGAATCTAATAATAAAAAAATAATAATAAAAATAATAACAATAACAATCATCATATTTGTTTCCAGAATCATAAATATAATCATGTTTATTCAGTGTTGTTCCTTTCTGTGAATATGTTTCACTGTAAGTAGGGTGAAAGGTGCTTTCAAGATCATTCTTGACAATCTTAAAAAGCAAAATAATAATTATTAAATTCCTCTGTGAGGAACGTCAGAGAAAGTATGTAAGGTGTCTTTCATTACAAAGCAAAGTACCACTGCATTTCTTGAGATAGCATCTGATAAATATTCATTGCAGAATTAAATGCACAAAGCTGTCATCTGATTTTCACTAGCACCAGATTTATATATTTATTATGTATAATATCTATGAGTTGCAATATTTTATTGTACTTGACCATGTGATGTAAAAGTTCAGTAACATAAAAAAGGCAAAAACCATTTTTCATCTCCCTGGGTAGAACAAAGAGAGAATCAAATCCAACTGGGGATAAGCCAGGCCAACCAGAACAGCAAATGTTCTCCAGCTGCCTCCCAAAGTAAGAACCAGAATGCCAAGCACCTCAAGGGTGTGCATGGCTGTGCTGAATCCTCTCACATCCCTCCTAGAACACCTGTATGCTCGATTCCCTCTCTGAAATGCCCATGAACCACCACACACAGCATGGGGAACACTCAGGAAGGATTAGAGAGCTGGGTGCACTTGCACATTGCAATTTCATGTCCCTCTAGTCTAGGCCAATGGGATCTTGGGGGGAATGGCAAGATTGTGGCCAGCAGGTCGAGGGAGGTGATCCTTCCCCTCCACTCAGCCCAAGTGAGGCCACATCTGGAGTGCTGTGTCCAGTTCTGGCACATTCAGGGCAAGAGAGACAAGAAACTACCTGAGAGGGTCCAGGGAAGGCTGTGGGGTGATTAAGAAATTGGAGCATCTTTCTTATGAGGAAAAGCTGAGGGGACTGGGCTTCTTTAGCATGGAGAAGAGTGGATTGAAAGGAGATATTATCAATTTAAAGGAAATCTTATCAATCTTAAGGATGGGTGTCAAGCAAGTGGTGCCAGACTTTTCAGTCGTGCCCAGGCACAGGACAAGGGACAATGGGCATAAACTAAACCATGGGAAATTCCAACTTAATATGATGAAAATTTTTATTGTGAGAATGATAAAGCACTGGAACTGGCTGTCCAGTGAGGCTATGGAATCTCCTTCTCTGGAGATATTCCAAATGTCCCTGGACACAATCCTACACAACCAGCTGTAGGTGATTCTGCTTTAGCAGAGGGGTTGTACCTTGAGAGGTCTCTTCCAAGATAAAGTCAGCAGCATTAGCTTCCAAAGGGTTCTCATTTCCAAATGGTCCACATCATGCTTATCTTCCTGAAATTGATTAGGTGCATATTAGTGGAAAACCTCTGAGTCTTGACACTTCCATGTTTAGGGCATAAATTGTTCTGTTTCCTTTTTTTTTGAAAGGGGAAAAATCAGGAAGAAAATTCCTAATTTAAAAGAAAATCTTTTTTCTAATAGGACATTTTATAGAATCCCAGAATGGTTTGGCTTGAAAGGGACTTTAAATATCTGGTTCAAATATCCCTGCCATGAGCAGGCGCACCTTCCTCTAGACCAGGTTGCTCAGAGCCCCATCCAACGTGGCCTTGAATACTTCCAGGGATGGGACACTGTTACAGTCCAGTTTTTAAAGTTATTAGAAATGCCTCTGTCCAAAATAAGGTGCAAATGAGACCATATGCCAAAGTTTTTATTTGATTGTAAATATGAGAGAGAGAGAGAGAGAGTGAGAGGACAAGGAAGAGAAAGAAATAGAAAAGAGGTAGGGAATGATAGAGACAGATTAAAGAAAATATCACCACTCCATGGATCCTGCCAGCATCATGTTAATCCTCTCAAGCTGGTCTTGGCAGTGAAGGTGCTCCAAAAAGCACAGAATCTGTTGGATTAATATACACTCAGAGCAGATGGGAGTGCCCAGGTATCTCCCCCGAGTCTGGGGAGCACTTTGGGGATCTTTGATGGATTGTGACACCCCCTCAGCTGCCTCTCACGGGAATGTCCCATGGATGTGGCCTGTGGTGATGGGGGTTTCACAGCTGGGCTGGTTTGTGTGAGGGAGGATGGGTGTTCACTGCCTCTGAGCAGAGGTCACACCACACATCCAAAACCTCCTCCCCCCTGCCTCGCTTTGGGGGGAGTCTGTGTAAACCTGGCCTCTGTGGGCTGTGCTCTACCCCAAACCCAGTCAGGGATGATTCTTTGCTGGGTTTGGTTTTCTTGTGGATGGATTCTTTTCTCTCAGCCTTGTTTACTTCTCCCTCAGCCTGAGATGATTGAACAACGGTGTCCCCTTTATGATATCTTGGCTGCTTAACTCACAGTCCAAGGTTCCAGTCAGGAATCTTCAAGGAGGGAGTGGGCTTCTGGAGTTGTAGCTTCTTTATAGTTTTTGCTATAATGGGCAAAACTCCTTCATAGCAATGTTTCAGACATGAACCACTTCAGTCCCTGACAGGCAGCCACTGCTTCTCTCAGAAACCTGTTCCAGTGCCCCCCACCCCACAGGGAAGAATTTCTTCATAATTTTCCCAATTTACAGTTGATTGTTCTTGCTGAGAGATTTAAAATGTCTCAGTAAATCTTGATAAGATTAGTGACCTTTAGATTATGTAATCAACAGAAAATACTATGATTTTCTATAATCCTTATCTCCATTTTATGAAGTAGGTTTTTGGAATACATGAATGTGCATACACTGTAATATGAAGGACCTTGCAAGAATCTGAGACTTAAAAAAGGCACACAGGACTGAAAATAAAAACTTTCCATTCAAACAGATGTTCAGACACTCCCAGTAAATTGGAATTGGAATGCAGTTAATAACTCTTAGTTTGGCTCATATCAGAAAGAATACTTAGGTAGGAACTGAAGATGAAGTCTCACCCACTGGGATTCCCACTGAGATCACACACATGCAATCAGAAAAATGCATATGTATTTCTAGATAAATTATACAGGAATCTGAAAAACCAATTAACATCTTGATTTGATTTGCTCAATTTAAGGATCAAAAATATTGCAGCACAACTTATGACACAAGGAAATCAGAGTTGTGTTTCTAGAGAAGGAGAGAGAAGGGAAATTCAGAAAAGATACAGAAGAATGGAACTCCCTGCACCAGCTCCTTTGGTGAGGTGATCAAACTCACCCTCTAATACATGGAAAAAAACAACATCTTTAAGGCTTAAGATGCATTGTAAACTATTTAAACACTGATTTGTTTAAGGCATTTAAAAGACCAAAAAAGGAAGTGCAAAAGATTTTCTCTAATATCTTCTCTCACGTATGTTCTTCAGCTGACTCAGACATTTCAGAATAGAGAATTTATATTCCTTCATTTCACCTTAACAAGCTGTATACACAGCCTCTGAACATCAAGATTTCCAGTCCTATCCCTGGTCCAATTTACAATTCTCTAGAATAAAATAAATATAATGACCTTTACTTTTAAAAGAACTATCAAAACCAACCAAACTATTCAGATGACAAATCTTTCGTTCTACTTCTATGGGACAACTTCAGCTAATCTTTAAGTATTTTTATTCTGGCTATACGGTGCAAAGCTTGAATTTTTTGATGTGACATTAGCTACCAAAAGCATCCAAACCTCTTATATTTTCTCACCAGTAATAAACTTGTGCTCATGAACAGCCAATTAGCATTTAAGACTATTATAGCATCATATACTATTACATATTTTTATTAGGAAATAAAACGTTTTTTAGAAAGGAAAATTATAACAAAATACAACCAAATCATATTTAATATTATGGTTCCAGTTTCATATGCGTTTTTTGCCCAGATTCATCACCATACACTCAAATTCTGCATGCATACAGGAGCTTTTAAACACTATTCCAAGTATACATAAGCAGTGCCTTTAATGCAGGAGTGCAGTAGTCCCTGAGTAAACTGCACAACAGTACAGAGCTGGGGTAGCTCAAGGAAGATTAGAAAATGGCCTTGATCCTGCAGCTTGCAGTTCTAGATTGGTAGGATCAAGATCAATGGCACCTTGTTATAGTGCAACTTCAGCAGCCTCAGCTTTTAAACTTGTGTTTCATTTCAGCCCATTTATAGGGACTTACTTCACTCCCTTCTCCATCACCTCTCTGAAGGGGAAGGGGGAAACCAGTTGGGATTGGCAATGTTTATTCAGTGTTTCATGCTGTATTTCACTAATTTGTTCTATAAAACACAAAATGAAACTTGTTCATCAGTAATTGAGATGGATCAAATGACAAGGAAAACAAATTGATCCAAGAATCTGATTCATCACTCTGCTGTTGCAGAGGTTACAATGTGCACTTACTCAGCCAGCCAGCCAGCCTGTGAGAACATAAAACTTTCAAGGGAAAACCTTGGGGCTGGACAAACAGCAAACAACCTGGTTACTTATTCAATCTTGTCAATGTCTTTCCTTCATCTTTTTTTAAAGATGCAGCAAGCATTCTGTTAAAAAAAAAGTGCTGTGTAAAATTTTTAGATTAGTAAGATAGGAAATAGAGAATATCATCCTGTCTCAACATCACATTATCAGAATTAATTTATTTAGGCTTACAAGGACCTCAATCTCTCAAAGACATTAGGATGCTCCTAGCCTTACATAGGTGAGAAGATTCAACTTTAGCACTTTAATGAACATATAAAGTGAAAAAGCTGTGGTCAAATTTCTGTTCTGAGAAAAACGCAAACGGACTGTGGTAAGGAGATTCAAGCTGTGTGAACTTTTAAAGGTAAAATGACACAAAACATATCATGGAGATAAATCGTTAAAACTATGTTTTTTACAAGGATAGTGTACTGAATATGGTCTGTCAACAGTTAGAATTCTTTATGTTGTATGTTTATAAACATATACACACCCAAAAAAGAAACTTCATTAAAAGACTGAAGATAGAGGTAAAGTTTATGAGAGTTCTTCTGCAAGTCAAGCAGTTTCATGAGCACCAGAACTAATGAAGCCTGGTTTCCTATAGATTTGTGTCTCGGGGTTGATTTGTGAGCCCTGACTGATGAGTTCCTTGCAGCAAAGACTCGTTAAAGAGCTCTGCTGGAATGGATTCTTTCTAGTCCAAGAAAAAGTGAACTCCTGCCACAAATTCTGCCTTAGCTGGGCAAATAAGGGAAAATATACATGAATACATGGTCATCTGTCTTGGGCCACTTATATACCCAAAACTTGTGAAATATTAATAACAGTGAGGCCTCTACATTTTTCTGACAGCTTTCTTGAAATAAATTATGGTGTTTAAGAATTACGTGGTGGATAAAGATAGCTGCTTTTCCACACCTGAACATGAATATATCGTAACCAAATCAAGGAAAACCATTTCAATACCTTCCTTTGTTTTTATTTCAACATGTACTTATGCCAGGTAAATTAATTAACAATGTGCACTGTTGTCCTAAGTTTAATGTGTTCCTTTTTTTCCAGTTAGGCAAAAGAAATATATTGGCTATTCCTGTGGTGTCACCATGTGAGATCATTTAGTTTCATTGTATGATATATTTCTGCAAAAATTTGAAGTAGGTACTCTTACTCATTTAAAAAAAATGCAAAATGTTTCAGGTGAGGTAGGTATGTTCAAAGGCATAGCAAAAAATTAAAATGCTGTCTGGCATTTACCAATTCTGTTTTTGAAAAATTAGCTCTTCAGTGGATGGTGCTCACCTATAGTAGTAGTGGGGGGAAAAGTGAAAATGTTGTGCAGCTTTACATATTTGTGAATGTACATGATTTTAGTCTATGGAAAGCCTATGGTTTTTTTACTCATATGTTGAAATACAAAGGAAAATGATATATTTTTTCTTCAGTGCTCAGTAGGAACAGAGTGTTACTGAAAGAGATGTTTATTCTTGGCCCAGAAAATAATTCATAAAACAAAGCAGAAATCCACCTAGAGAATGGATGTCCTGATATCTTTATACAAAAAGTTATATTTTCCCATTTTTCCTTAAAATTCCACAAACACTGTCATGCCTTGAGATGCTTCTGCGTCTGAGGATGTCTGCCCATTCTCCACCTCACCTCCCAATACAGGTGACTTTGTAACTGATTTCTGTTTGGCCCTTGTTCAGGCACTTATACCTGAGCTGCACAGATTTCCAGTCACAGTTGCAGCTAAAAATAACTTGATTAAAAGGTTACAGGACACTTGAAGAATTCACAAAATTAAATGTATTTGGTTTCTTGTATATGTGACAAAAAAACAGACCACATTCCATTCACATTCTATTTCCTTTGTAGAGATAATGGTGATTTTTCCATACTGTACAAACTGCAACACTAATTTGCTGCATGAGTGACACTTTAGAGTCTCACAAACAGAAATTCACAGAGAAAAGAAAAGGAAACTATAATTAGTTTCTATTTTTTATTTTTACACACTTCAGAAATAAGAACACATCACACCATCATCAATTTAAGCAATGGCATTGTGTAATTCTACAAATGAAAAAAAAAAAAAAAACCAGAAGGTACAAAATACAACTTATAGAAAATCAATGTATCTTTGACCCCATGAGGGAAAATAGTGATTTTTAAAGGCTCTCTGTACCTCCAAAATACTTTTCTATCCTAAAGTGCTGATAAAATGAATACAGATTTGATAATGAAATTTTTTTGGTGTTTGTTGTTTTTTGTGGTTTGTTTTTTGTTTTGGGTTTTTTTTTTGTTGTTGTTGTTTTTTTTTGTTTGTGGTTTTATTTATTTTTTTTCTTATCCTTGGTGATATTCCACTGTTGAATAGTAATTTGTGATATATTTTCTTATTTTTCTAGGTTTGATTAACTTATTTTATTCCAGCAGGAAGTTTACTGGGAACAATTACACATGAACCAGAGGGTGTGGTTTTAATTTTCATGCTCCAGGCTTGTATAATGTTTTCATTGTGATTTATTCTAATTGAATAAGAAGTCATAAATCTACTCTTCAAAGGAATCACAGTCTTTGTAGATTGATAATTATAACTCTTTCTGTCAGATTTATCTTAACATCTAAATGACACCATAAAAATGCAAACCAAATCATTTTGTAAGACCCTTAGCCTTCATGTTTATAGTTCTGAAATGTTCAAAACCTTCACTTCAACTGAAGAAAGCAGTAAAGTTAGGGGAAAAAAAACAGGTTTTTAAACACTGTAAACTCCATTTATTATCCAAGATATAACTACTACAGATATAAAACAAGTGTCACACGGAAAGCAAAGTAAACTGTGACATTTTATATTAGCTTTAACTCCAGATTTTATATAGAATGGTTTAAGGTGGATTTTACTATAATAGTTTGCCAGTGCAGTAACCCACTGTGCTGTGTGTAATCCCATCTGTCCAAACAGAGGCCAAGTTAACTTTTAGCTTTTTCTTCTTGGAGAAATTCAACTACAGACTGATCGTTTTACATAGATTCATATTCAACAAAACTATTCATATCAAGGCTTTATTTCCATTCAAATTACTTCTGGTGGGCATTTTCCCTCTGTTTTTCAAGAGGAAGCATCAAAGGTGAGGATCAATGAAGTCGAACAACCTGTGGAATTCTTCCCACGCCCTGAGGAAATTCTATTTGAATATGAATCAGTAGTGTTAATTAGATGAATAGGCAGATTGTTGAGTATTTTACTTCAGGCTATTAAACTCTGAATATGCAAAATTGTTATTTCAGTGCTTTGTTGTCCTCAGAGAAATTGCTTATTGGAATTATCATACTATGTTTGTGGGGAGATAGTGGAGATAATTACAGCTTTCCTGGCTTATATTAATATTCTTTCAATTTCTTCAGTTTACAGATTTTCTGGCTTGTATTTGTTGGGGTTTTTAAATATCATTAAACATGGGTATTACCTTTTCAAGTTAAAAATAGCAGATGTATACTGCTATAAAAACCTAGGATAGTTTCTAGGATAGGTTTTCTCAGACATTCAGGATATCTAGGCAAACATACATGCATAGTATAATTGCACTAAGGTGATATTTTTTCTCCCCTTCTAACTTTTTGTGAATGAGACTGCTCATGCAAATCTGCAGATAGGGGTGTTCAGGAGTGATAAAAAAAAATTAACGCACATGTTCAGCAAGTGATGATTCCTTTTGCCAGAATTGGCGATTGGTCATTTACATAAAGCAAGGAATTGCAGCACAGAAATTCCTAAGTTGTTCCCTAGCAAACATCCACATTGCTTTCACACAGCCACACTTGCTATTCCAGCACTGGCTCAAGGGATGTTAGCTTGGAAGTCATTGCTTCAGTGTTGAAGGAATCTCAGTTTGTATGGGAGAGAGAAAGAGGCTGCATGTCTTCCCACTTCTGCAACACACAACTAGGAACAGGAGCTGACCTTGACAGTGTTAACAGGGCTAAAGAACGATAATTCTGCTAGTCCCCTGAAACCAGAGGGAATGTCTGTCTAGTGCTTTATTAGATATAAGACTGCCCTTACATATCATTTCTCTTTTCACTTTACCAGAACACAAACCCTGACAATATTGAGAAGGTGAACACCAGTTAGTCTCATCTACTTTGCATCAAGAGATATTGCTACTGACAGGAAAAGGAAATAAAAGTTTGATGGGGAAAAAGCAAAAGCAACACTGAGCAACTATGACACTTCAGATCATAAATCAAGCAGTAGGTCTGATCCTATTTCTATGACTTTTACCAAAGAAACATTTTCCCCTTGCTGAATAACCTAAAAAATTCCAATAGACTCACTACTGTTGAAACAACCATGAAACACATTTCTAATATGGTGGGACCATGATCATGAGCAACTATAATGGAGAAAGCTTTTGTACTTTTTCAGGAAAACAAACACAATTGAGTGCATTGAAGTGCCTGTATGTTCACAGATGCAACACAGGGAACACACAAGAAAAATTAGAAATCGATGAAAACTGCAGGACCATAATCCCCTTCGTTTCACAGAGACATAGGGAGTTGGTCCACACAATTAGGGTTCTGCCATGGATGGATACAAGTTGTTTAGGAAGGTAGGCAGGGATGGCAAGTTGCAAGTGAAAGAGGAGCAGGATCACAGAGAATTCTGCCTTGGTATGGATGACAAGGCTTTTGAGAGGTGATGGATCAGAATCAGAGGTCAGACTGATGTGGCTGTTTGCTACAAACTGCCTGTTATGCTCTGATTCTTGAGAGATGCCCCTGCCTGAATTAAGGTGCAAATGAGTAAATATGTAAAAGTCAATAATACACATTTTATTTAACAGTAAATATGAGGTAGAGAGATTGAAAGAAGTTAGAGGAGCTGGGGGAAGGAGGGAAGGAGGAGACAGAGAGAGAGAGATCAAGAGAGATAGTCACCACCTGTGGATCCAGAGGCTTCATGTTAGTCCTTCTTCCCCCAGGGCTTTCCAATGGTGGGGGCACCAGAGTCATCCTCTTGAGGTTACCACCTTTATACAGCCCAAGTTCTGAGTATCCACTGGGCCATCACAGATGTGTTTCCCATAACTTGTGGTGATATACATGAGTTCCTTCCTTTCCCACAGTTTGCCACAGTGGGAATTTTCTCCAGATACATTAAGCAGGATGTGGTAAACCAGGTCTCACCTCACCAGTCTTGGAATTGTCACCGTCCTGTTGCAATTTCTAATCTCAAATTCAGACTGTCATGGTTGATCTTGTCGCAAGTTCCTTCTGTGGCCTTGACAGTGTTTGGAGACAGGCAACTGTGCTCTTTACATCCTTACCCTACCTGCTCAGGGGGATGCAGCAATGAGGTCTCTTCAGACACCTGGAAGAAGACACATATATGCAAGCTTTTCACCTCATAGATGATTTGAATCACCTTGACATCTGCTGGAGGAGCAACACGAAAAAGAACAAGGGATTTGTCTTGGTTTTGGGAGCACATTGATAAGAACATCCTCTCAAAGGAAGCTAACAGCTTCCTGACAGAGCATTAGTAAGGGAAAATGCTCAGCTGGGCCTCATGGTTACAAAAAAACAAAGGGCTTGTTGGGGCTGTGAAAGTCAAAGGTAGCCATGGTGGCAATCACCATGAGGTGGAGGGATGCAAGGCTAAAACCAAGATCATATCCCTGGACTTCATGAGATAGCTTTGGCCTCTTCCATGATCTGCTTGAAAAAGCTCCATCAAATAAAGCCCTAGAGGTAATTGGAGCCAAAGAAAACTGTTTTATATTCTGGGATCATTTCTTTCAAGCTCAAGAATTGTCCATTACAAAACGTAGGAAATGCAAAAATGCCAAGAGGTCTGCATGTATGCAGAACAAGACCCTGGCAACTTTAACAGGTGAGAAGGAACCATACAGAGTATGGAAAGCAGGGACAGCAGCCCGGGATACACTGTCCAAGCATACAATGACAGTTAGGAAAGCCAAAATTCACCTGGGATTGAATCTGGCAAGGGAGGCCAAAGGCAAAGAAATAACTTGTATAAGAACTTAAGTAACAAAAGGAAGACGAGAGAAAATTTGGAACTAGTGCAGAATGAGGCTGGGAAGCTGGTGACAGAGGCATGGAAAAGGCTCAGACATTGAATTACTTCTTCACATCAGCCTTTTCTAGCTGGATCAGCCTTCAAAAATCCCAGGCTAGAGGGAAAATCTGGAGCATGGAAGATGTGCTATTTGTGGAAGACAATCATGTCAGGAAATACTTAACAACAGTAGGTGCACCTGCTTTAACATGGGGTGGGATTGGATGATGCCATGCTCAGCACATAAAGAGCAGGAAAGAAGATTAAAGGGGAGGAGACATTTGGAGTGATGATGTTTGTCTTCCCAAATCATTGTTACCTGTGATGGAGCCCTGCTCTCCTGGAGGTGGCAGAGCACCTGCCTGCCAGTGGAAAGCAGTAAATTAATTCCTTGTTCTGCTTTTTATGAGCATGCAGCTTTTGCTTTATTTATTAAACTACCTTTATCTCAACTCATGAGTTTTCTCACTTTTAACCTTCCAGTTTTCTTTGCCATCCCACCAGGGGGAACATGAATGAAGGGCTTAGTTGCCTTATCAGGTTAAACCATGACACCTCCCTACTTAAAGCACCATCACTGCTGGCACTTAGGATGTCCCTGTATAGCCTGTATTTACAGTGCAATTTAACTAACAAAGTGAAACCCTGAAGTTTTGTAGTACTGTGCAAAAATTTAAAGAGTTTCTGATCATAATTACAGAAGAAAACAATGAAAAAATGAAAATAAATTGAAATAATGGAGGACACTGACGTACGTTTCTGCTTGATAAAATATGGCACACGAGTAGGTAAAACAAACCAGTAGAGAGGCAAAAGCAAATTAGCCCTATTTCTGCACTGATTGTGCTATGAAACTGTTGAAGAAGGCAGATAAGATAAGGGGGGAAAATGGGATTATGTTTCCCAGAATATGGGACAACATCAGGTCAAATCCTTGAGAATAAATTATATCCTAGAGGTTATTTGCATAGAAGCAGAAACCCTTTCATGTGTAACAAAAAATAAAGATAACATGTATGATTTTGAGGGAAGAAAAAATATTTCTGAAGTTCTCTTTGATGTTATCACAATTTCATTGCATAAAAATGCTTTGGTTTGGTTTCATTCAGTTTAGGATTTCAAACATTTAAAAAATTATATTTTTTTGATGCTGTATTAGTTTTGCATGGCCAGGTTTTTGGTAGTGGGGGGCCACAGAGGTGGCTTCTATGAGAAGCTGCTGGAAGCTTCCACCATGTCCAGCAGATCCAATCCCTGATGGCTCTGAAGATGGACATGCTGCTGGCCAAAACTGGGCCAATTAGAGATGTTGGTAACACCTCTGTGATAATATATTTAAAACGAAAACGAAAACAAAGTGAGAGCAGTTT